GAGCGACGTCCGTCCCCTCTGAGCGCTGGCGGGCAACTGAGGGAGCCTGGCTCCTGACGGTGAAGGACCCTCCCGGAGTGAGGAGGCCCGCCGGGCGAGGTGGAGTATGGACCCGCCCAAAACGGGGGAGTCCACTCTCACTGTATGTAGAGGACAGATAGAGGTTTGAGGCAAGCATATTGTGTGGTTATTTTTGTTTATGTGTTAAAGGGGAACATTTTTATTGGAGTGTCGATGGGTTGCAGGTTTGTCTTTGGGGAAGAAGTTGCTGAGAACTTCGAAGCCAGCACAGATGAAGTAGCTGATGAGACTCCAAGGTAGTGGAGCAGAGGACCTCGAGCTGTGAGGAGAAGCGGTGAAGAGGAGTGTCACGTGCTTCTGTAGAGGTGGTGAAGCACCATAGTTGCTCGAGGAAACTTCATGGTGTAGCAGCCAAGAGAGCTGTGGAGGAACCTAGCAGAAGTAGTAGAGCACCATAGTTGCTCAAGGAATCTTCATGATAGCAGCCTGGAGGAGCTGCAGAGGATCCTGGTAGTGAAGCCCGGAAGAACCTGAAGATATCAGGGTAGTGAACTTCCAGAGGTGGAAGGGGAAGTTCTGGTGGATTACTTGTAGGGAGTTGATAGTGTTTGGTTGTCATTAGCGTGCAAGACGCAGTGAGAGGTGAGTGACTGTTTGCATTCTTATGTCAAGGAGTGTTTTACACTGAAGTTTAGAGTTACAGTCGTAGGCTGGATTACCTACAGATGTATGCGTTCTAGGACTGATAGAGTGATCGATTGATCATTGTTGTGTATCAATGAACATTTATACTGATATATGTTATTGCATTCAAATGCTGATTTTCTTTGTACATATTTATAGATACATATATATATTCTCTTGCTGATGGTGCAACAGTGTATGTAGACTTGATCAACTTGAGGTGGTTGATAGTATCAGGTGGTGAACCAGGAGATAGGATACCACTTGGTAAACTGACAATAGAGTTCTGATGGTGTTGGAGAGCAACCTGATTGTAATATTATAGAGTATAGGATTCATTATTACTATATGTGTGTATGTATCGTGTATGTGCTTTGTCCAGTAAATGTATCCCAATTTGCCGGTGTTTGCCCTTGTCCTAGTGAGGCTTCCCAGGAGGTAGTAAAGAAGGAGAGAGAGAGAGAAAGAACCAAGAACCACTGCTGTGGACAGGGTAGGAGGTAATACTAGTAAGTCACAGGGGATTGAGGAGATCATATCTCATAAGGAGAGAGTGGGGAGTCACAGCGGCTCGAGTGGGTGTGTGCACGTGACAACGAGGCTAAGTGTTGGAGCCGCATCCCCTAAACGTGTGACGTTGAGCCCCTCTCCAAGAGCCAGAAGCGCCTAGTGTGATCTCCTAGTATAAGCACTCTACCGAGTTGTGGGTTGGGTTGTCCATAGAGAAGGATCAACGACGACAACACCACCAACCCACAAACACTCTATAATAGTCTTTAGGACTAATTGAGGGGGGGAAAGGAACGGTGCCCAACCGCCCTGTTCATTGGGGTATCGAACGCCAAGCCTGCAAGAAGAGAGGTTATGGTGGGTCTGAGGGGGGGGGGGTGGAGTCCATCTGGAATACCCATTAGCGATAACCATCTTTCCAGGTCCTTGGGTTGAGCCCTTTCCCTTCGCACAAACTTCTGCCACACTGGGAACCAGTACCGACCTTCCATGGGGTTAAGGTCCTCGACCTCTAGTACCATCTTGACGTACTGCGTACGTCAAGATGGTACTAGAGGTCGTACCATCCAGGTACTTGTCCAGATGGTACAAGATGTACCATCTGGACACGATCAGCGTCGCCAGTAGGCGCCACCATCTGGTAACTGAAGGCAAGGTATTATCAGTCTTATACGGGCTTCACTAAGGGTCCAGGGGGCCAGATTCACCAAGCAGTTACGCAAGTTCTTACGAACGTGTACATCTTTCGTCAATCTTTGACGGCTTTGGTTACATTTATTAAACAGTTGACAAGCATGAAAACTTCACAATCAACTGTTGTTATTGTTATATGTTAACAGCCTCCTGGTGCTTCGGAGCTCATAAACTGTTGAACAATTGTAAACAAAGTCGCCAAAGATTGAGAAAAGATGGACAGGTTCGTAAGTACTGGCGTAACTGCTTCGTGAATCTGGCCCCAGATGGGTGCTCCTTACCCTCCACAAGACCAGCCCTTCGCGCCACTTGCCACTTACCAAAACAAAACAACAAAAATGGAGCTGTTTTGCCTAGCTATTAACGAACGCAAACAACCCTCCTATAACCTATCGCGGCCGATGCATCGAAAACGTCGATACTACGGTGCTTCCCGCCAAACACACACCGAATGTACGACGTTGGTACAACGTTCGAACAAGATTTTTACACCTAACCAGTTATAACAACCAATATAGCAAGTTGTAACAACGTTCTAATACGTCATAAACACCTTTAAGCCAACATGTAGCAAGTTTATTACAAGTTGTAACAAGCGGAAAATAGAGACAGTTTCGGTTTGTGTTTCCAGGGTTTAATTTATACTAACACGTCGCATTTTTAACGGATTGGTCGATTTTGTAAACAAAATAAAAGGGAGGAGTATTATTAGGCGAGAGAACATACTGCCTAGTTACAGGTTCCCTTTGACTCTCAAGAGAACAGTTTGGAAGATATAACTATTGGTAATAGGTAAATACATATTCTATTAATTTACTACTATTTTTTCACTGTAAAAGGGGTTTTTTTTTTTTTTTTTTTTTTTTTTTTTTTTTTTTTAAGACTCAGAGTCTGTATTTAACCTCCCGCCCCCCACCCCATGAGGAGCAGGTCGGCCGAACGGACAGCAAGCTGGGCATGTGATCCTGTCGTCCCGGGTTCGATCCTGGGCGCCGGCGAGAAACAATGGGCAGAGTTTATTTCACCCTATGGCCCGTGTTAACTAGCAGTAAAATAGGTACCTGGGAGTTAGTCAGCTGTCACGGGCTGCTTCCTTGGGGGCGGAGGCCTGGTCGAAGACCGGGCCGCGGGGAACACTAAAAGCCCCGAAATCATCTCAAGATAACCCCCCCCCCCCATTTCTCTTGGAAGAAAGGTCTTCCTAATCTAAATGATTTGTTTAAATATTTGCTAATTTTTAATGTTCACCCACAGCGCGGTGGACAGCGGCCTCCACCCGCGGTGGACAGCGGCCTCCACCCGCGGTGGACAGCGGCCTCCACCCGCGGTGGACAGCGGCCTCCACCCGCGGTGGACAGCGGCCTCCACCCGCGGTGGACAGCGGCCTCCACCCGCGGTGGACAGCGGCCTCCACCCGCGGTGGACAGCGGCCTCCACCGCGCTGTGGGTTATGCAGTAAATAGGTACTTGGGAGTTAGACAGCTGTTACGTGCTGCTTCTTGGGTGCTGGAAGAAAAAAAAAAAGAGAAAAAGTGAGTAACAGTTGAGAGTCAGGCCAAAAGAGAATACTTGACGTAGCGCAGCATAGGGAAACGATTTTTGAATTGAACATCTTACAACGTGCGCAGCCCCCAGAAATGTCCTGCACTCCCCGTCAGCGCAGCTTCACGAATCCTCCTGCAGTAGTCGACAGGTCTTCCTCTTCTATGTGGAGCGGTGATCGGAGGTGTTGTGGGGCGGTGATGGGGGGTGTTGTGGAGCGGTGATTGGAGGTGTTGTGGGGCGGTGATGGGAGGTATTGTGGGGTGGTGTTGTGGGGTGGTGATCGGAGGTGTTGTGGGGGTGGTGGTAGTTATGGGTAGTGTTGTGATACACTCCGACTCAGACTCAAGTGTCCCTTGAGTGTGTGATAGTGGGATAGGTCAGGTTAGGCCTCCACCCGCGGTAGACAGCAGCCTCCACCCACGGTAGACAGCAGCCTCCACCCGCGGTAGACAGCAGCCCCCACCCGCGGTAGACAGCAGCCTCCACCCACGGTAGACAGCAGCCTCCACCCACGGTAGACAGCAGCCTCCACCCACGGTAGACAGCAGCTTCCACCCGCGGTAGACAGCAGCCTCCACCCACGGTAGACAGCAGCTTCCACCCGCGGTAGACAGCAGGTTCCACCCGCGGTAGACAGCAGCTTCCACCCGCGGTAGACAGCAGCCTCCACCCACGGTAGACAGCAGCCTCCACCCACGGTAGACAGCAGCCCACCCGCGGTAGACAGCAGCTTCCACCCGCGGTAGACAGCAGCCTCCACCCGCGGTAGACAGCAGCCTCCACCCACGGTAGACAGCAGCCTCCACCCACGATAGACAGCAGCTTCCACCCACGGTAGACAGCAGCCTCCACCCACGGTAGACAGCAGCCTCCACCCACGGTAGACAGCAGCCTCCACCCACGGTAGACAGCAGCTTCCACCCACGGTAGACAGCAGCTTCCACCCGCGGTAGACAGCAGCCTCCACCCGGGGTAGACAGCAGCCTCCACCCACGGTAGACAGCAGCCTCCACCCACGGTAGACAGCAGCCTCCACCCACGGTAGACAGCAGCTTCCACCCGCGGTGGACAGAGGCCTAACCTGACCGATCCCTCTATCACACGCTCAAGGGACACTTGAGTCTGACTCGGAGTGTATCACAACACTACCCATAACTATAACCGACCCACAACACTCCCAGTCATCCCCCCCCCCCAATGTGTGATGATCGGGGGTGCCCGATCACCACACACCCCCATGATTGGGTGTGTGGTGATCTCCACCCGGCGGTGGCACCACCCGCCCAACCCGGCAGTGGTTAGGTAAACTTCCTTAGAGAGGAAGTTCTACTGCCCTTCCTTAGGGCGGTGGAGGTGGAATCTCCGCGGTATCTGGGTAAGTTACCTCACATTTGCTGTTTGGCCTCGAACAGAATGAGGGAGGGAGGAGAGCAGTGGAGGAGTCTGCAGCCACCTCCACTACTATGCCTCCTCTCTCACTCCGTACGAGGTCAAACAGGTCAAGGGTGAGAGGTCTTAAAGGGGTCAACATGGCGGTCCCGCCCAACCTGGCTCCTCAGGTCAGTTCAGTTGCAGGTGTTTTCAGCCTGCCGTGGTCGTCTTAATGGTGGGGGTGGGCTTGGCTCGTGTAATGTTTTACACAATTTTCGTGCCAATTTGTCCATGGGTGGACGGTGTTTTGGATTATCTTCCAGTAGACTATTCGAAATAAGCTCCAGTTCTTTTGGAAGATCCTTACGCGCCTTGATCAGGTTTTGTAAGTTTTTGCCGAACGCGTAGACGTCCTGTGAGGAGTGGGCGGCAAAGGAGTCGAATAAGGTTTCTGCCGCGAAGTGACTCTGGCTGGGGTTTTTGGGGCATTTGGATCCTTTATGCGCCGCCATGGTGAAGTCAACGATGTAGACCTTTCGGTCATGTTTTAGATCGACCATCATATTTTCAAGAGTCACGTTTCCATGGACAAAGCCTTTTTCGTGGATTTTTGCAAACGCCTCAGCTGCAGCCTGGAGTGCCGAGACTGCATCCCTACACGAGCAAATCTCAAGGAACTCTAAGAGACTGAGGTCGCCGACTCCCGTCATTACTAAGACGGGTGGGTTTACACAGCAGCCTAGCACATGGGGGGTGACCCCAGTGTCCTTGAGGGCGTCGAGAGTCACAAATTCGTTGATGAATAAGTCCATCATTCGACTTATACTACCCTGGGTAGGTAGAGCAGTTTTATAGTAAAGATTTTGGCCGCCGTACGAGGCCAGGAACTCGGTCGTGTTTACTCCCTTGAAATGATTAAAAATTACGCTCTTAGATAACAACTTTACCCATGTCTTGTGAGGGAATATCCTTTTGTCATTTTTTGCGTGTACTACTTTTGTCGTGATATCCAATTTTAGAAAGTCGAAATCGTTGTCTGAACTGTCCACTGGCGGCTGGGCAGCGCCAGTCTCCTGGCCTGACCCGGAAGTGCCAGTCTCCTGACCTGGCTCAGTAGTGCTAGTCTCCTGGCCTGGCTCGGTAGTGCCTGTCTCCTGGCCTGGCTCGGTCGTGCCAGACCAGGAGGTGTTTCCGGCCTCCTGTGATCGTCGTGATGTTGGGGGTGGGCTTGGCGTGTCACAATGTTTTGTTTTTCTATTAGATGTTGGGTTAGTGGAGCTAGTGTGAGTGGGATGTGAACCCGCATGCTCTTCCTTTGGCGCTATTTCGGTAAGCTCTGCCATACCTAGATATTTTGGTGTGGTCAGATGATCTGGTCGGGCTAAACATTCTTTTAATGTTTTACACAATTTTCGTGCCAATTTGTCCATGGGTGGACGGTGTTTTGGATTATCTTCCAGTAGACGATACGGAATAAGCTCCAGTTCTTTTGGAAGATCCTTACGCGCCTTGATCAGATTTTGTAAGTTTTTGCCGAACGCGTAGACATCCTGTGAGGAGTGGGCGGCAAAGGAGTCGAATAAGGTTTCTGCCGCGAAGTGACTCTGGCTGGGGTTTTTGGGGCGTTCGGATCCTTCAGGCGCCGCCATGGTGAAGTCAACGATGTAGACCTTTTGGTCATGTTTTAGATCGACCATCATATTTTCAAGAGTCACGTTTCCATGGACAAAGCCTTTTTCGTGGATTTTTGCAAACGCCTCAGCTGCAGCCTGGAGTGCCGAGACTGCCTCCCAACAGGAGCAAATCTCAAGGAACTCTAAGAGACTGAGGTCGCCGACTCCCGTCATTACTAAGGTGGGTGGGGATATACAGCAACCTAGCACACGTGGGGTGACCCCAGTGTCCTTGAGGGCGTCGAGAGTCACAAATTCGTTGAGGAATGAGTCGATCAGTTGTTCATCACTAGCAGTTTTATAGTAAAGATTTTGGCCGCCGTACCAGGCCAGGAACTCCGTCGTCTTTACTCCCTTGAATTGATGAAAAATTACGCTCTTAGATAACAACTTTATCCATGTGTTGTGAGGGAATATCCTTTTGTCCCTTTTTGCGTGTACTACTTTTGTCGTGATATCCAATTTTACAAAGTCGATATCGTTGTCTGAACTGTCTCCTGTCTCCTGGCCTGGCTCGGTCGTGCCAGACCAGGAGGTGTTTCCGGCCTCCCGTGATCGTCGTGATGTTGGGGGTGGGCTTGGCGTGTCACAATGTTTTGTTTTTCTATTAGATGTTGGGTTAGTGGAGCTAGTGTGAGTGGGATGTGAACCCGCATGCTCTTCCTTTGGCGCTATTTCGGTAAGCTCTGCCATACCTAGATATTTTGGTGTGGTCAGATGATCTGGTCGGGCTAAACATTCTTTTAATGTTTTACACAATTTTCGTGCCAATTTGTCCATGGGTGGACGGTGTTTTGGATTATCTTCCAGTAGACGATAAGGAATAAGCTCGAATTCTTTTGGAAGATCCTTACGCGCCTTGATCAGATTTTGTAAGTTTTTGCCGAACGCGTAGACGTCCTGTGAGGAGTGGGCGGCAAAGGAGTCGAATAAGGTTTCTGCCGCGAAGTGACTCTGGCTGGGGTTTTTGGGGCGTTCGGATCCTTCAGGCGCCGCCATGGTGAAGTCAACGATGTAGACCTTTTGGTCATGTTTTAGATCGACCATCATATTTTCAAGAGTCACGTTTCCATGGACAAAGCCTTTTGCATGGATTTTTGCAAACGCCTCAGCTGCAGCCTGGAGTGCCGAGACTGCCTCCCAACAGGAGCAAATCTCAAGGAACTCTAAGAGACTGAGGTCGCCGACTCCCGTCATTACTAAGACGGGTGGGGTTATACAGCAGCCTAGCACACGTGGGGTGACCCCAGTGTCCTTGAGGGCGTCGAGAGTCACAAATTCGTTGAGGAATGAGTCGATCAGTTGTTCATCACTAGCAGTTTTATAGTAAAGATTTTGGCCGCCGTACCAGGCCAGGAACTCCGTCGTCTTTACTCCCTTGAATTGATGAAAAATTACGCTCTTAGATAACAACTTTACCCATGTGTTGTGAGGGAATATCCTTTTGTCCCTTTTTGCGTGTACTACTTTTGTCGTGATATCCAATTTTACAAAGTCGATATCGTTGTCTGAACTGACCACTGGCGGCGGGGCAGCACCAGTCTCCTGGCCTGACCCGGAAGTGCCAGTCTCCTGACCTGGCTTGGTAGTGCCGGTCTCCTGGCCTGGCTCAGTAGTGCTAGTCTCCTGGCCTGGCTCGGTAGTGCCTGTCTCCTGGCCTGGGTCGATAGTACCAGTGTCCTGGGCATGGTGAGCCTCTTTGGCAAGGTCCTGGAGCTGGTCATAGAGGCCGTGGGCCAGGAGATGGCCGAGGAGACCCCACTGTTTGGGCACTTCCTGGTCTGGGTCAGTAGTGCTAGTCTCCTGGCCTGGGTCGGTAGTGCCAGTGTCCTGGGCATGGTGAGCCTCTTTGGCAAGGTCCTGGAGCTGGTCATAGAGGCCGTGGGCCAGGAGATGGCCGAGGAGACCCCACTGTTTGGGCACTTCCTGGTCTGGGTCAGTAGTGCTAGTCTCCTGGCCTGGGTCGGTAGTGTCAGTGTCCTGGCCTGGGTCGGTAGTGCCAGTGTCCTGGCCTGGGTCCTGGCCTGGGTCGGTGGTGCCAGTGTCCTGGCCTGGGTCGATAGTACCAGTGTCCTGGCCTGGGTCGGTAGTGCCAGTGTCCTGGCCTGGGTCGGTAGTGCCAGTGTCCTGGCCTGGGTTGGTAGTGCCAGTGTCCTGGCCTGGGTCGGTAGTGCCAGTGTCCTGGCCTGGGTCGGTGGTGCCAGTGTCCTGGCCTGGGTCGATAGTGCCAGTGTCCTGGCCTGGGTCGGTAGTGCCAGTGTCCTGGGCTGGGTCGGTAGTGCCAGTGTCCTGGCCTGGGTTGGTAGTGCCAGTGTCCTGGCCTGGGTCGGTGGTGCCAGTGTCCTGGCCTGGGTCGGTGGTGCCAGTGTCCTGGCCTGGGTCGGTGGTGCCAGTGTCCTGGCCTGGGTCGATAGTGCCAGTGTCCTGGCCTGGGTCGGTGGTGCCAGTGTCCTGGCCTGGGTCGGTGGTGCCAGTGTCCTGGCCTGGGTCGGTGGTGCCAGTGTCCTGGCCTGGGTCGGTGGTGCCAGTGTCCTGGCCTGGGTCGGTGGTGCCAGTGTCCTGGCCTGGGTCGGTGGTGCCAGTGTCCTGGCCTGGGTCGGTAGTGCCAGTGTCCTGGCCTGGGTCGGTAGTGCCAGTGTCCTGGCCTGGGTCCTGGCCTGGGTCGGTGGTGCCAGTGTCCTGGCCTGGGTCGGTGGTGCCAGTGTCCTGGCCTGGGTCGGTGGTGCCAGTGTCCTGGCCTGGGTCGGTGGTGCCAGTGTCCTGGCCTGGGTCGGTGGTGCCAGTGTCCTCCTGGTCCTGGCTGGGTCGGTGGTGCCAGTGTCCTGGCCCGGTGGTGTGCCTGGGTCGGTGGTGCCAGTGTCCTGGCCTGGGTCGGTGGTGCCAGTGTCCTGGCCTGGGTCCTGGCCTGGGTCGGTGGTGCCAGTGTCCTGGCCGGGGTCGGTGGTGCCAGTGTCCTGGCCTGGGTCGGTGGTGCCAGTGCCCTGGCCTGGGTCGGTGGTGACAATGTCCTGGCCGGGGTCGGTGGTGCCAGTGTCCTGGCCGGGGTCGGTGGTGCCAGTGTCCTGGCCTGGGTCGGTGGTGCCAGTGCCCTGGCCTGGGTCGGTGGTGACAATGTCCTGGCCGGGGTCGATAACGCTGACCTCGCTTTCGCCAGAGGACTGCTGGGGCTCCGTGGTGCTGACCTCGTCCAGGTCAGAGGAGTGGTGGGTGCCCTTGGGTCTATCCCAGCCGTGGGTATAGTAGTAGTATAAGAGGCCCATCACGACGAACACCGCCCCTAACCTGAGGCACCAAGGAAGGACCCCAAGGCCCTGTGCCCCACCACCTGCCCCCACGACGCCTGCGTGACCCAGCGCCCCAGCACCGGCCCCCACGACGAACACCGCCCCTAACCCGAGGCACCAAGGAAGGTCCCCAAGGCCCTGTACCCCGCCACCTGCCCCACCGCCTACCCCGCCACCTGCCCCGCCACCTGCCGCCTGCCCCGCCTGCCCCGCCACCTGCCCCGCCACCTGCCCCGCCACCTGCCCCGCCACCTGCCCCGCCACCTACCCCGCCACCTACCCCACCATTTGCCCCAGCACCGGCCTGCAGGAAGGGTGTTGGGATGACACTGCTTTCTGCACTGTTGATGTTTGAGAATTTAAACATTTTAAATTTTGTTGATGTATTTTTTTTATTATTGTTTAGATATTCGCGCACGTTAAGTCGTTAAGTTATTGTTTTAAGTCGGATGTGTTCACTAAACGGTAACTATAGTTATCTTGAGGTTATCTTGAGATGATTTCTGGGCTTTTAGTGTCCCCGCGGCCCGGTCCTCGACCAGGCCTCCACCCCCAGGAAGCAGCCCGTGACAGCTGACTAACACCCAGGTACCTATTTTACTGCTAGGTAACCGGGGCATAGGGTGAAAGAAACTCTGCCGATTGTTTCTCGCCGGCGCTCGGGATCGAACCCGGGACCATAGGATCTCAAGTCCAGCGTGCTGTCCGCTCGGCCGACAGTGTTTGCAACAGTCCACTTCTGTACCTTTGAGTAGACAGTTACCTTAAGTATTGGGGGAGGGGTATTGGGGGAAAATAGGGGGTGTTGGAGGGGGGGGGGGGGAGTTAAGGCGTGGTAGGAGTAGGGAAGTTACGTATAAGGGACAAGGGAGTGGTGGGATAGGAAAGAGGGATTGTAGGGGGACGGGGGATTGTAGGGGAGAGGGGAAGGGTAGGAGTAACGGTGAGGGAGGAGAGGGGGAGGGCAAGGTGCCAGGCCTGTGTGTGTGTGTGTGTGTGTGTGTGTGTGTGTGTGTGTGTGTGTGTGTGTGTACTCACCTGTTTGTGCTTGCGGGGGTTGAGCTTTGGCTCTTTGGTCCCGCCTTGTGTGTGTGTGTGTGTGTGTACTCACCTATTTGTTTATTTTACATGTTTATATGTAGTGTGTGTGTGTGTACTCACCTAGTTGTGCTTGCGGGGGTTGAGCTCTGGCTCTTTGGTCCCGCCTCTCAACTGTCAATCAACTGGTGTACAGGTTCCTGAGCCTACTGTTCTCTATCATATCTACAACCTGAAATTGTGTATGGAGTCAGCCTCCACCACATCACTTTTTAATGCATTC